ATCATTAAATCCACTGCTCTCTTGTCTCCTCTGAGGCTGGGACTCTAAACAGTGTTCTGTGCTCGTCTGTGCAGCCAAAGATAGAACAGTTAGCATGTTTTGCTCAAACTTTCGCCATGGCATTAGAGCTGGTACACTGTTGTCGCTTGCGAAATCAAAATGATGGTGCTGTGGGTGAAAACTTACAGATTAAGGGGCAGTAATATTATAATGAGATCCCTTTGCGACGTCACTTGGGGAGTGAAATCAGACGTGCTCGTTTTTGCAGAGGCTTGCAGAAAAATGCTTACCAAAACAAAGTTACTGGGTTAATCTCTTTCACGTTTCCTTGGTTGGTAGATGCACCGGGGACCAGATTATAGCACTTAAAACCTGGAAAAGTCAGATTTTCATGATATGTCACCTTTTAATTAAGAGGCTCGTTGTGGATAGCTGTGCTATTACTTTTCTAAGCAACCCATTTTTATTTTTGACTGGCAGACGATAAAATAATAAATAGAATATTAAAGTACAGAGCCAATAAACCCTATACACTTACACTGTTCAAAAGTTTGGGGTGGGTAAGATTTTTAAATGTTTTTAAAAGTTAAAGGTTTTCTATTTGAATGTAAAATGTAGAATGTAGAATGTAAAAACGGTTGTGCTGCTTAATTTTGTGGAAACGGTGATAAAACATTTTTTTCCAGGATTCTTTAGTGAAAATAAAATTACAAATGTTATAAATGTCTTTACTAACACTTTTGATCAATTTAATGCATCCTTGCTGAATAAAACTTTTTTTTTTTTTAAATCTTACCCACCTCTATGACTTCTAGTTATATTTTACTGTGCTCTCTCTCTAGTGTGATTGTCGAATTACATGTTATAGCTTTCAGGAAGATCAGATGAACCTTAAGCATATTAGTTGCTATCACCCATTCAGCGATCATGCTGCAGAATAATTACAGCGTTTGCTTATGTCAATCAGAGCCGGAGGAGACATGTGCCCTTATTCTCTCTCTCGCTCTCTCTCTCTCTCTCTCTCACACACACACACAGACACACACACACACACACACTCTTGATAAAGACTAAATCTCTTACAGAGCAGCACTGAGTCTTTCTCGCCGCAGGATTCTGTTCTGCTCCTGTATTTTCTAATGCTTCCTCTGGTGAGCAGAGAGAATTGGTGAAGATTCCTGCTTAATCTTCAGTGCTCTCACAGTGCCATCTACTGATCATTTACATGCAATGCTTTCAAAAATAAAGCATTTGTAGAACAAGTCAGTTAGTCAGTTCATGTACTGTATATATGCATTAAATTGAAGCAGACTTGCTACATTTTATATCCTTCTGCTTTTTCAAGGTGGATTAGAGGCTATCCTCCAAACTCCCCTTACATTGGAAGCTCCCCAACTCTTTGTCACCTTTTGCAACAAAAGGCACCGTTTTGTTGCCTACGACTTGACAAGGTGAGTGTATAACTCTTAATTCACCTATTTTGTTTCCTACAACTTGACAAAGTGAGTGTATAATTTTTAATTCACTCTTAAATACTGATAGCGATTCAGCTTAATCCATTGGGATCGTTTTATGAAAGATACATTTAGATTTTTTTTAACTGACTGATGTAATTTCATCTTATATATATATGTGTGTGTGTGTGTGTGTGTGTACACATATCAGCTCTAAATGTATGTATGTATGTATGTATGTATGTATGAAAGCATGATATCTTCACACATTTAGAGCTGATATCATTTATTACAGTCCGTTAAATGTTTTACTTGTTTTTATGTGCAGGGTTGTCGGCACAATAGCTTTGAAGACGCCAAGGCATATGGTTTCAAAAACAAGTTGATTATCGTTTCTGCTGAAACTGCAGGAAATGGCCTGTACAACTTCATAGTGCCACTGCGTGCCTATTACCGACCCCGGAAGGAGCTGAATCCCATTGTGCTGCTGTTGGATAATCCGTGAGCGAGCTGCCTCATCAGTTTTCACTGCATGTTACTGCTCATAGTGATGACTTTAGACTTCGAAAGTCAGTCAAAAGCATTGCTTAACCTGACTTTACTACTTAAAAATACTTCCATGCATATCTGCATAAAAACAAATCTCTTTATCGACTGTTCACACTCTGTCATGCATTAGATTGAAATCGTTATGTATTATCTTGCTCTCTAATGCTAAACGCTTTCAAAAGTGTTGTTCATTATGCTCCGCATATTCTTCCTTTCAGTAATGCAAAATAGTGTACACAATTTCCATTACATTGTAGATTCTTCCTCAGAGTTTCCATGGCAACTCTGAGATGTGTCAAAAGCCTTTTTGCAATTACCTGCTTATGCATTTTGCACAAGCTTTTACCCTGAGAATACATTTTTATAAGGTTGTTTACCAGTCCCAAACCTTTAAGAACTTTAAAACTGCAGCTGTGAGTGGATTAGCATTGTCAAACTGCTCTTCCCCTCCATTTCCAGGCCTGATAATCATTTTCTTGAAGCCATCTGCTGTTTCCCTATGGTGTACTACATGGCTGGTACCATTGACAAGTAGGTTTTTTAAAACATTTCAGTATACATACACAACCGGTTTTAGTCCAGTCTGAACGGTCGATTTGTACTGGTTTCTGTCATAGTTTGGATAACCTGCTGCAGTGTGGCATCATCTACGCTGATAACCTGGTGGTGGTGGATAAGGAGAGCACTATGAGTGCAGAGGAAGACTACATGGCAGATGCTAAAACCATAGTCAATGTGCAGACCATGTTCAGGTACGTTTTATGCTCAAACATTAATAACTTCAGCTAATTGGTTGTGTTTGTCTTCAAGCTGATGTCTTTCTCTACATTAGCTGGAAATGGCATTGGATACTAATTACTTTGTTGGCTGAGTTTTTCCCGCAAATCTTCATTTTCATATTTGTTCTCCCGTTACTGTGTCCTCTACTAGGTTGTTTCCTAGTCTCAGCATAATCACTGAGCTAACCCATCCTTCTAATATGAGATTCATGCAGTTTCGTGCCAAAGACTGCTACTCCCTGGCTCTCTCCAAACTTGAAAAGGTGTCATATCTAAACAACCACACCGTTTGACTTACATCGGGGTCCAAAAGTCTGTTTCTGTTTTGAATTTTTTCTTTTCAGTTATTGCACATTTATATTGTCAGTAACAGTGTGTGTGTGAAAAGTTGAATACAAAATTAACATGCATTTTTAATTCAAGTTGCATGAACTCCACGAGTTTGTGTAAAACCATATGTCACATGATTTAGAAATAGTTCAGAAATAATAAGAAATTATCTAAATGATTTATTGGTCATTTCGTTGTTTTACATTTTTCAAAATCCTAAAAACTTTTTTTATTTCCAGGTTCAAAATAGATTCTGAGTCCCAGATTGTCAGTGTGATCCCAGACTTTAGGACTCCAATAATGATTTATAATTTTTCTTCCTTGCAAGTTGTCAATTTAACTACTCTAACCAGGCCTAACATTAACATAATGCATTTCAGACTTTTCTCTGATATGAAATAACTTTGCTTGAATGCTACACATTTATTATGACATGGTCCATTGGAATGAGTAAATATGATGCATTTGTGGTGATTGCATGCTTCAAATGGCTGAAAATACTGAAACTACGATAATGCTGTATTACAAATTGCCAGATGGTCTGAAAATCTCAAATCATCAGCAGTGGAAAGAGCCATCAATCTTTTGTCTTGATCTTTTTCCCTTTTCTCCAGATAGAGAGAGATAAGGGCTCTAATCTGGCATTCATGTTCCGCCTCCCATTCGCTGCAGGCAGAGTGTTCAGTATTAGTATGCTGGATACTCTTCTTTACCAGGTGGGTAATAGATCAGATGCAACTTCTGCTAATTCTATGTAAAAGTATTGCACCACCTTGTGGCACTCTAATATCTATGAATATATATACAGTGGGTACGGAAAGTATTCAGACCCCCTTAAATTTTTCACTCTTTGTTATATTGCAGCCATTTGCTAAAATCATTTAAGTTAATTTTTTTTCCTCATTAATGTACACACAGCACCCCATATTGACAGAAAAACACAGAATTGTTGACATTTATGCAGATTTATTAAAAAAGAAAATCTGAAATATCACATGGTCCTAAGTATTCAGACCCTTTGCTCAGTATTTAGTAGAAACACCCTTTTGATCTAATACAGCCAGGAGTCTTTTTGGGAAAGATGCAACAAGTTATTCACACCTGGATTTGGGGATCCTCTGCCATTCCCCCTTGCAGATCCTCTCCAGTTCTGTCAGGTTGGATGGTAAACGTTGGTGGACAGCCATTTTTAGGTTTACACTACTGTTCAAAAATTTTGGGGTTAGTACGTTTTTATTTTTAAAGAATTTAATGCTTTTTTTTTAAGCAAGGACAAATTAAATTGATCAAAAGTGACAATAAAAACATTTATAATGTTACAAAAGATTTCTATTTCAAATAAATGCTGTTCTTCTAAAATTTCTATTCTTCAAATCATTCATCAAATTTCATAGTTTGCGGCATAACAGTTTTAGAATTTATAATAATAATAAAAATGTTTCTTGAGCAGCAAATCAACATATTAGAATGATTTCTGAAGGATCACGTGACACTGAAGACTGGAGTAGTGATGCTGAAAATTCAGCTTTGCCTTCACATGAATAAATTACGTTTTACAATATATGTATATGAAAAAGTTATTTTAAATTGTAATAATGTCACAATATTACTGTTTTTACAGTATTTTGATCAAATAAATACAGCCTTGGTGGAAATAAGAAACCTCTTTCAAAAACAGTTAAAAAAAATTCTTATCAACCCCAAACTTGTGAACAGTAGTGTATTTATGTATGTATATATATGGAATGTTTGTTCTTTTAAATATGAAGTCAGGGGTCTTCAAAAGGAGGGCTGCTAATTATTGAATACTACAGTATTTGTCAAACAAAAACATTGTTAAATTCAGCCAGTGTTAAAGATAAGAAACTTAAGTTCAGATGAATGTGTCACTGTCCCTCCCACATTAAAATGTATGAAGTAAAATTAAAATGTATAATTAATGTAAATGACTCTGTATATCAATAATGATTATCTTAAAAGCCTTGCAATGTGAGCAACATCATAGCAAAAGTATATGAATTAATTAATATAGTACTATATGCATGTTATGACCATAAAGTGAAAACCACTATATAGGAAACATAACTTGATGAGCTGCCAGTCATACAGCTTTGTCTAGGTCTTGCCAGGAAATATAATATAATGAATAAATGTAATAAATAGAGATATATTTTGTATAACATTATAAAAAGTGTGTTTTGTTTTTGTATCTCCACACATTTGATGCTCAAAACCAAAGGCAGATTTTCACCTTTCTGTGAGGTAGATAGGAACAGAGAACCTTGAGTGGCATTTGCAGAAGGTTGTGATCCTGCTATGCTCCCCTCAGGCACTGAGTCTCTGGAGTCTTTATTGATCGTGTGAGGTCTGGAGATCATCTGTGTGCTTTCTGGGGACTGTTTCAATTAGAACGGCATCAGCAGTCTGTATTTAATAGGATAAGCACTGAAAGTCTAATGAAAATGCTTTGTGGCAATTGAAAGGACTAGTTCACCCAAAAGTGGAAATTTGCTGAAAATGTACTCATTCTCAGGCCATCACTCACTCACCAGTGGATCCTCTGCAGTGAATGGGTGCCGTCAGAATGAGAGTCCAAACAGCTGATAAAGTCCATCAGTTAATGTCTTGTGAAGTGAAAAGCTCCTGCTAAAATACGAGTCCTCTATCTATAATATTGCTTTCTCCAGTGAAAGTCATCTCGTCTAATTCAGGAAATAAACATGCACAGATCAAACACTGTTTAAAAGTGAAAACAGTCCAGAACAGTTCTAAACAAATATGTTGGTTTGTTTTATTATAAGAGGACAACAGGGGATGGACTTCACTGGAGGAAGTGTTATTATGGATTAGGGGACTAATATTTTGGCCAGAAGTGACGGTGTAAAATGTCTTGATGATGGATTTCTTCAAATCTGTTCTGATGAAGAAAACTCATTTACATCTTGGATGGCCTGAGGGTGAGTACATTTTCAGGAAATTTTCATTTTTGGGTGAACTATTCCTTTAATAGACCTTTATTTATTTTCTTTTAGATTCAAAATTCAGTGTTTTTTTTTATTCATACATTTTCCTGGCTGACAGTTTCTTGCTAAAGCTACATGCAAATGTCTGAAGACTGCTGCCTACAGTTCTCCTTTTTGTACATTTTTTTCCAGATGACATTATCAGTAGGCTAGTCTGCGCCCCATGAGCCTTCCTCTTATCTTATTAAAAACAGACCGCAGGAAACTGCTGGCCATTGGCTTTATAATGACACTGGACAAAACGAATATGATTTAGAAACCTAGTGCTTATCTGTAAAGCCAACTGATTTCATTATAATCGAATTTGCATTTGTGTATAATTCATTATTACACAGCTCACTGGAATACTTGATTCTGGTTGGTCAATTGCAGCATTCTCCAGTCTTATATAATGATCACTAAGCTATTTAACTTATTGTTGTCCCAGCTGTTTCAACTCAAATAAATTTTTTTAAATAGCTGTGTAATAAGCAGTATAATGCACAGTCAGCTAGTCATTATTGTAATATAAAACCTTCAGCTTTTTGTCACCATCCTGATCACCCTGTCAGGATTTGTTTAGCAATGATGACTGTACCTTATTCCATACTTATACTGTACATAAATGCAAAAGGTAAAGCAAAGGTATAGCATTTTTTATGACTTAAATGCAATTATGGATAAAGTGGACAGGTTCTTTCTGCATAGACTATGTGTGGGTGTAATATACAATATATGCAGACTTTGTATTTTTTTTACATGGCTAGTAGCCACATTTTTTTAAGTGAATGCAGTATTTATTCAATATTGTTATTTATTATTTATTTAATAATATGTTTTTTTGCAGTTTAGGTGCAGTATCACACCTAACATTTTGTCTCATTATGTTTGCAAAAACATGCTCCTGATCAACAATGTCATTTGACAGCAGTGCTGACCTGTTTCTGAAATAATGAAGTCTGATTTTATAGTTAAATTAGTGATGTAGTTGTCTTTTTCTCCTCTGGTACGAACTGAAGAGGGTACTTACATGACAGAGGGTACTGCAGGTACTCACTGGCATCTGAGCATTGATATAAGACATGATGAGTGAGGGCTTTTGATTCCAGGATGTTTGGACAGAGTGGAGTAGAAAGCATTCAGTCTTTGTCGGAAGGGTCCATCTAGCACAGGTATTTAGGCGTACACTTATAAGTCTGCTTGTACCGATTTGCAGCATTGTTTCTCAGCTTTTCATTCTTATTAATGGGGTGATACTGGGAGAAGTAATTGGGTTTCCCATTGGTGTAATTGTTTAATTAGCGTTTGGCTATTGACTCCTCCCAATCCCGCACTACTAATGTTTTTTGCTTCACTCTGATTGGTCGAGCCTTGGCTTGGTGGGCCTGATAGATCCTCTAAGCATGCTTGTATCTGTGTGTGTCGGTCTTACTGTTTGCTGACTTGGGGCTGTATGTTGGCATGGCAATGATCAACGTTCAGTGGGTCAGCTGTGATTATGATGCAGTAGACGGATGGATGGATTGAGAGACTGAATGCGTGGGTGGATGCGGACCCTGTCTGCATGCGTCCGCGCATGGGGAGCGCTTGCGGTTGCATGGGCGTTCCGTAAATGCAGCCATGCCCTGTCAGTAACGGTTAGCCCTTCTCTCTCTTTTACCTGGCCTGGCATTATAAGTGGCTCAAACAGGTGGGTTTGGAGAAGCAGAGGCACTTTGTCCCAGTCTTGAGTCCCTTATTCACAGACCTGCAAAGGTTCACACTTCTCAGTCATTTACAAGCAGGTAAAATACAACAAAGCCTCAGAAACCCAGCCAACAAAATCCTAACACAGTGGGTACACAACAACTGCCTCCCTTGTTTTTTTTAACATATTTTGGCTATTCTGACTCATTCAACAGCATAGTTTTATTATCTGTAGTAGGAACAGAGATAAATGTTATGGATAACTTCTCAGAACTTTGTCACACAAATGTTTTGGATTATTAAGAATTGATACAGGTTAAATACAATAGTAACTGTGTTTGGTTTCTCTTGCAGATGAAATGAATGATAATCAGAACACGTTATCATATGTGCTGATAAACCCTCCTCCGGACACCATTCTAGAGCTCAATGATATTGTGTAAGTGGCATATATTAAAATTATAGTGTGCCATTTTGTATGTTAATATACACTTTTCCCAGTGAAATGTGACAAGAAAACAATTTATAGATTGACTGGTTTCACTTTATTTTGATGGTCCCTTTAAAGGGGTCATATGATGCTGCTAAAAAGAACATTATTTTGTGTATTTGGTGTAATTAAATGTTTATGCGGTTTAAAGTAAAAAAAAACATTATTTTCCACATACTGTACATTATTGTTTCTCCTCTATGCCCCGCCTTTTTGAAACGCGTCGATTTTTACAAAGCTCATCGGTCTGAAAAAGCGAGGTGTGCTGTGATTGGCCAGCTATCCAATGCATTGTGATTAGCCGAATACCTCAAGCGTGAGATGGAAATGTTACGCCCCTCACATACTGTTGATGCAGTGTCCCGGCCGGAGCGACGAGACAAAAACATTAAAACCCATTACAAACGAGGCATTTGTTGCATCCAGTGGAGACATAATTACTGATTATAATGACTTATACTGTCTTTTTACGCATTGTGTTGTATTGCATTGCGCCGCGTAAACATAAATCTCTGTCTGCATTTGTGATCAGAGAAATGACAAACAACAAGCCCTACTCTACACTGCCCAAAACTCGCATTTGAATCATCAGTGGCAAATCCTTTAAATGAAAACCTACTTACAGACTGTGAGTCAGAACTGCCGGCATTTTAGTCTAACGTTACTCTCCCAGGATCAGTAAACAGTCCTCCATAAAATGTGCTGCACACATCTGGATATTTGGGTTAAACTGCTCTGGAACGGTGTTGTAAATACAACTTAACCACTGATTTGTAGTCATGTCCTCTTTTGGAAGACCAAACAGAGTAGTTTCACTTTCACAACGAAAAACACAGTGGCCTAGCGTGAGGGGAAGCGTGCGCTGAGGCCGGGCTAGAGTGAGCTGAGCTGAGGCCGGGATAGAGTGAGCTGAGGCGGCGGGGTCGAGAACGGTGCGCCCGGCGGGTCCGACGAATTAGCGGCAACCACGTGACGACCCCGGGCTGGACTCCGCTTCGTCCACGGTGAAAGTTGATGTATTCCCTCAGCGACCAGCACAGATCAGCACCAGGCATGACGAAGCGGATATCATCCTCTTTTGGAAGACCAAACAAAGTAGTTTCACTTTCACAATGTGGGGGTGTGTTAGAACGAGCCGTTTTAGGTAGGAGTGGCTAACTGAACTTTTATAAAGAATATCTCTTTGGATTTGAGACTTTAGTCTTTGCATATTTACAGATCTTCTTTATGCACCAAGAGCTTGAAACATTCCAAAGAGAAAGGAAAAATTGAAATCGTATCATATGACCCCTTTAACACATTCTGTTGACTATAAGTAACGTTGCACACGTGTCTACTAACTCTCATTAGAGAATTAGTAGACTGTCAGGGTTAGAATAAGTTGACCTGTAAAGTTACTTATAGTCAGTAGAATGTATGTTTGGGAGACCATGACAACAAACAGTTAGCAGATATTAAGCAAACAGTCTACTAATACTCTGATGAGAGTTAGTAGACATGTAGGTGCAACATTACTTATTGTCAACAGAATGTGTAAAAGGGACCATCAAAATAAAGTGTTACCGATAGACTTTCCAAAGACTGTAAAGTCTTCGACTATACCCGTTTGGCACTTTACTTCCTCTTTTTTTATATTTTCTTCATTTTCAATAAACATAACTGGTTCTCCGAGTTGAGTTGTGATGAGAAAGTGGAGAAGAATGTGACTGGAAATTAATCTGGCAGACTGAAGCTCAGGTCGGTCATGTCAGTTTTGTCTGGCTCATCCAGACAGTGGTGGGTAGAGTGTAAACTGCCTTTGGCAGCAAGACAGGATATTTGCACTAAAATAGTCAAACCATCATCAGCATTCATTCCACATCATATTACCCTCTTGCTCAACCAATGGCATAAGTTTGGGGTGGGACTGTATCTGGTAATGGTTATGCTACTATGCTAACATGTTATGCTAACGTGAACAATATGAACTTTGGGCTGTACAAATTTTATTTATTTTTTTTGCAAATATATTTTGCTCCTTTAACAGTGTGCTAGGTTCAGCTGGCTGTTTTTTTAAATGTACAACCTGTTTTCCACCCTTTTCTAGCTACATCATCCGTTCTGATCCGCTGGCACACGTCCCTGAGAATCTCCCAGGGGCTCCGGCCGGAGTGAAACTACGACAAGACTATGGACCTGAGACGAGGGATGAGACCCATCTGTAGGAACTGGAAGTTCTCGTTAACCCTCCCTTCTCCGCCTTGAGCTGCTACAGTCTGCATGAAGATTGACAGGACTCACAACCGACATGACCCATGTGCCAACACATTCACAACCCAAGCTGCCCAACCAAGCCAAATGGTCGTAACTGTAGAACTGAAACACTTTACAGATTCCTCTTTTCTACAACACAGACATACAGAATCTCGTGACACATTTCAGACTTCTCTGAATGTGGCTGGTTATTACATTTTTGTATTTGAGACTTGGCTCAGTGCAAGTGTGAGGTGTTGAATCAGTTTGGACCAAACGAGATTGGATTTATAGGGCAGTATACTGTATATCAGAAACATTACGTAAAGCAGCATTCAAGAGGGCAGCTAAAGACAGAAGGGAAAAAAACAACTATTACATCAGTCAGCTGTCCCGAGTGGACCAGAACACTGGATAGTCATATGTGAGGTGTTTCAGTATGATATTGAACAGAATTAGTTTACATCAGTGCTATATTTTGTACTTGTATAGCACGAATATAGTATATATAAATATATATTTGTATATAAGTTAGCCACATATTCTTTTACATGCTCAGTGACTTAGTATTCACAGTATTTTGTTGTGTTTTCTTCCTCAAAGCACAAAGGGTTTTACATTTGAAATTGCTAATCTCAAGCTAAAGCTTTTACATGATTGAACACCATGATGATTTACTGTAAATCACTGTCAATTATCACTACAAATGTTATCATGCACCAGTTTACATGTGCTGAGAACAGAAGCTAGATCAAGTTCTTTACCGTACGATTTCGAATTTACAGGGAAAAAATGGAACCTATTCTACAGCAAACACATTGAAGAGATGTCAAATGGTAATATATATAAGATTAATATTGAAACAGGTTTGGTGTCAAACTTATGAATTGTGTTTGGGTTATACAATCGAAAATATTAGATGTAATATACACTGTTGGTAACCATTGTTTTTCGGTGGCATTTTGCTTCAAAGCTAACAAGTGTTTGTTGTTTGTTTTCTCTTTACAATAGCATTCAGCATTTGTATTTATAAAAATATTCATAATTTTTTTCAGTGTGCACAATGTACGTTACTGCTCATTTAGGACAAAAACGTATCGCTATATATTAGCTATATATCTCTATATAAATATTATATAGAGAGTGCACGAGGGAGAGTATACATCATTTGAATTTGCCGATTTTATTGCACTAAGCTCTGTTTATAGAGCAGTACACAGTAACCCTTTAAACTACATATAGAAAACATTACAAATTTTACATTTCACATTAATATTTGTGTTTTGTTTTTGCCTTCTGTATTAAGACATATTGCATTGTTCATTTGCCATTCCAATCAGTATATGGAGCTGACATTTAAAGCTATCATGGAAAGCTGCTCTTGATTTGAATATTTCTATTGTTTTAACAGACAGATGTATTTATCTTTCTTTGAACAGACCCTTTGCGCAAAGTAGCTAAGGTTGAATACCTCTCCTATCATTCTTAGCTGTCTGTCTCCACAAAGAAATGCGATAGATGACAGTACAAGCAATGAAATAGGAATCTTTGTAGCTATTATGTTAAAATAAAAACGTTATAATTCTGTATTCATGTTTACAGCATATTTAAGGCATTTTCTGCCTTATATCACTTCTATTAATCTGGCTTATCAGTTTATTTATTGCTTAGCTCCAAGACTCAATCTCGGTAGTAAATGGAGGCGTCAACCCTTGACATATTGGGCAGAATACTGTACAGTTCATCAAACTACATTCATGTTTTTTGCTTGCATAAAGATATTGTCACCTACATTGTCCATCAGTCACTGTTTTCTCATGCAGATTGCTTTGGGAAGGTTTTGTTTTTTTAACGTTTTCCTAAATTTCCAGCCATAATTGGAAAGGATATGCATAGTGTGCATGTTAAAAATATCAGCCTGCAGATTCTTCTATTTTTACTAGTTCCCTAAGATTTAAATCCTGTATCTTGATCAGCTGATCAAAGCTGCTGCAATTTACTAAATTTCTTTGTTATTTGTCCAGTAGTTTTAGAATAATATGGACCATGCATGTCCTTATCTTGCCAAATGTGTCAGAGACCCATGTTTACAGTTGCTGGCTCCTGTTTTTGGATTGTGCTTAATACATGAACTTATACATTTTGTACAATTTCTTAAATGAAGTCTGTACTAACATGTAAGAATGAATCAATAAATGCTGCATGCAGCCAGAGAAATGTGGCAGTATTTTCCTACCAATAGATACGTTGACTCTGTTGATGTATAGATTCACACATTTTATTTAGCATTTAATAATGCAGTAAAAATCTGTCAATTGTGAAACCAAATGTCTTCACTAATCTGTTATAGAAAATACTGTACGTACCAGGTGCATTTTTACATACCATATTCACTATCATATGTTGCATATTTTAGTGTTTTGTAGGTTTGACAGAGCTGAAGAACTGATTATTTTGAGATCTATTTAATAATCTTTAATTTTTGGTTTTTTATTTTAAATAAATTTTCTTTTTACATTTGTGGCACAGACAACACAACACACACACTCATACAAACAATTAAACACACACACATCCATACAAACACACATACATATATATAATTTGTAACATACTTCCGGTACCTAATGATTCTGTTTGAGCTTGTGTTTGTTTTTTTGTGTCTCTCTCCACCTTTCTCGAGTCCAGCGCCCATGATTTTCCACCACCTCATGTAGCAGGTCTATAAAGGTATACTCATTCCCCAGCAACAGGCTGTCATCTTTTGGAGAACCTCCCGAAGGGGGCGCTCTTGAGTCAGAGCCGTCACACATCTGCCCCTGCCCTCGGTCTCTGTGAGCTCTCCGTGCAGCTTTCTCCACTCTCCTGGACTGCTTCTGCAATTCTGATGCAACCTGCTCACTTTGGTGAACTCTGTGCGTCTTTCTTTTCATGCTCTGTATTTTCTTATCATCTTTGTTGTTTATCTCCTCTCCAGCAGCAGGCTTTGACTTGCTGCCACCAAATGATGGATTACAAATGCTGAACAATTCAGAGCAGACCTCACTTTCATCAATTTGGGAGTTCTTGGAGGACAAGTCTCGAAAATCGGAAAAGATGGTCGACTCGAGACCTGACCTCCAAGTTTCCCCATTTGTATGAATTCTGCCATCCTCCCTTGGTGATATATTAGAATCAGAGAAGCATTCCTGTGCACTGAAATGTAGGACTTTATGATTGGATGACTCAAGACTTGCCCTGTAAGTGTCCTCATCAATAGTGACTCGGACATCTTCTATTGGGGACGTTATTTCTGGCAGAAACTCCCGTGCATTGAACTGTGGAGCAGTTGGGAGGATTGCAGGAGAAATGCTAGGATGAAATGGTCTGATGTCATGCCTGCAGCCGGTTACAAATATTAGTTGAGGGAACATATTAAGCACTTGTTGATTTTGAGCCCACTGTTTCTTCCACTGGGCCGCAGTCGGAGGCCAGGTCAGTACCCGCCAAATGGGTCTTGAAGGTCCTGATGTTCCTTTAGCAGTATTCTGATCAACCCTAGAGGTCTGGTTTTCCGGATCAGCACCGATCGAGAGGTACGGCAGGTTTTCAGCAGTCTCCTCAGACTGGGATGTGACATGTTTTACCTGGAGAGAATCTTGACTGCTTCCTGCTTCAACGGTCAACTCATTCAGGTGATCCAACACATCATTCTCCACACTATGCTGGAGAACGTCTTGGTCAACACTTGTTCCGGCTTGAACACTCACATCAGCATCTTTTTTCTCTCCAAGTTCCTTGTGTAATTTCACAGTGTCTGTGGTGTTACTGACCTCATCAATGAATCCATCATTCTCATCATCTGCAAAGTTTTTTCCATCTTCCACCTCCTCAGTATTCACACATACATTGTCCTTTTCTTTTTCTGAGGTCATCCATCCATTGTAATACTCATCATTCCTTACCCCATCTTCTTCAGTGGCCACTTCTGCTTCTGTCGGTTTAGAAAACATCTCCATCCTGCACAGGACCGGCCCGGCAGATCTCACTCGTTTAATAGGTTCTCTGGTTTCATATGTCCCTGATGAATAAATATGGTAAATCTGTGATGTCTTCTCATCTCCAACCATAATTTGGTTTGTCCTCAGTAACACCTCTGTTGTGGCAATTTGTGTTTTATTAGCAATTTCAGATGTCATTTTTCTGTTTTCTTCTCCATTGCTCTTTGCAGTTGATTCACTGGTTCGTATCATTTCTGATTTCTCTGAAGCCGGTTTTACAGCCTGTAGATGTTTTCTCTCTCGTTTCCTGTGATACAATACTGAAAGGACACAGATGACAAGCACCAGGGCACACAGTACCACTGGTTACATAATAAAAGGTTAGTCATCCACAACACAAGCTCCTGGACATGAGGGCTGAATTTAGGCAATTAATTAGTTCCACCTACCAATTAAAATGATTAAAGTTGAGGGTCCGATTCTAAGAGGTTTGGTTATTAATACAGTGGCAGGGTTCCCGGTGCCAGGACTTCCAGTGGTCAGGCTCACAGTGGTAAGACTTGTAGTGGTAGGGCTCATAGTTGTGAGGGTTTTACATTCTGGTACCTGCCATACTGGGATACCTTTCAAATGAGGAGGGCTATTACAGCACACCAGCATCTTGTTCTCCAGAAGAGAAGCATTCTGCAGACCTGCATGCATTTATGAAAGTCACTTAACATTCACCCAAAAAACGAAAATGATCTATCATAAGCCTTTATGTACATTATTAATGTACAGTTTGGAGTTGATAAGATTTTATAATGTTTTTGAAAGAAGAATATACAGTAAAACAGTAATATTGAATATTTCAGTAGCATCAGATGAAATGTACAAGATGGAAATGAATGCATACCTCTCAGGTATTTGGCAAAGTCATTCACAGAGCAGGAGCAGTCCCAAGGATTTCCATCCAAATGGATCTTTGTGCCGTTAAGTGCAAGAAGCACATCCATACTCAAATGTGTCAGTTTGTTGTTGGAAAGGCCTAACTGCCTCAGTTTACTGAGACCGAGAAGACTGCTTGGGGTTATAGTGTGAATCTGGTTCTGAGACAAGTCTAGGTTGAGCAGGTTTGACAGCCCATCAAGAGAATTATGATCCAGCGTAGTGATTTTATTATTTGAGAGTCTGAGTGTCTCAAGTGTAACCTGATGGCTGAACCAGTCTGACGAGACTTGGGAGAGATGATTATTGTCCAAATTTAGAGTTTTGAGGTTTTGAAACTTATCGAAGGTCTGCGGTCCTATTGCTGTGATGCCTTGGTATGCCATAGTCAGACTGTTCACAGAGGTCAGATTGGTGCTGTTAAACATAGACAAGCCGATTTCTCCTAAACCACTCACAAAGATAATCACGGAGGTCAAGCCAGCAGGATAATCTAGAAGGGAAAAAAGGGACAGTTCATCTAAAAGTAATTTACTCATCAGCACACCTTTCGAAACCTTTATGACTTTCTTCTGTAGAACACAAAAGGAGATGTCGGGCAGAATGTCCAAGCTACACTGTTCTAAATAATGAAAGGCAATGGTGACCAGGGCTCAGGCAAGATTTCCAGTGAATAACTTAAATTGAAGTCAGTTTTGCACATAAAGCAGTAGTATAGCGTCAGAAGACTTGGAATATAGTGCATGAGTTGTATGGATCACCGTTACAGTTTTTTGTCCTTTCGGGAGCTTGACATCCACTTGTCACCATTCACTTTCACTGTTTGTAAAAGTGCAGCAATAACATTGTTCAAAACATCTTTTATTAAGTCCTATGAGTTGGAACGACATGAAATTGGACAAACTGTGACGACTTTCTTTGAGTGAACTCTACTTATTCATCTAAAATGCAATTATCCAAAATTATTATAATCATAATTTTTATTGGTAAACTGCATATAGCTGACATTTATCTGACCCACTTCTCTGGCAGATAACAAGCACATTCCTTTTATGAGCATTAAGTGTCTTCAGACCATCCTACCTTTTGGTATCTCTTTGCAAACATAGTCCGTTTCTGTGTATATACAGGACTGAAACCATGCCTCACGTATGCACTGGAACACCACAAAAATAAAAAGAGCTAGGTGGAAAAAAGAAACATTCTTTTACATCCCAATTCACTTGATTTTGAAGCCAACATCAAATCAGAGTGCAATAATACTCACCGTGCATACTGACAAACATCAAATAACAAGGTATTCAGAGTTCCTGTCTAATCACCATCCATCCAACGAATGCCTGACTTGTAGAGCCCCCCGCTGAGGATAAACTGTCAGTTGCCATGATACAAATGTGTCTTCAGTGGACTGTCAAGGATACAGTGCTTGTCGATGAAGCACAGCCTGTGGTGTTCCAGTTGACAGAAGTTGGGACGCCCATCAGGAGACCACACAATTAAAATCACAACAGTAAAGCTATTGATATATAAGTTTATCAATTGCTGACATGAAAATTCATGTAAATTCAATTTGGTACAATGCTCAACACTTGTTACTAATATTCATTATTATGAGGCAAGCTCACTTACTGAAAAATGCAAGAGGTGTTATAAAATAAAGTGAAAGAAAGATGACAATGTCAATAAATGGGGGGGGGGGGGGGAATTGAGAATGAATTTATTGACTTGAAAAATTTATTAATTCTCAGTCTTATTTAAAATAAATAATAGTATGGAAAAGAAAGCAAAATGACCAAGAATGAATATTAGTATTTAAAAAAATATATAAAAAAAACAGGTGATCAACAACAATACAATCTTTCAATTATAGATATAAAAACACATAATATACAAAACTGCAATTTAAAATTAAACAATGCTGCGACGTATAGACAAGTCTAACACCAATTATTTGGAAACAGTAGTTTAAGAGTCATTAAGGGGCTGTCAGTGTGCTCTTTTCGGTGTTAATAGTGTTTGAGAGATGTTTCCTGGTGTACAACAGAGTACCTTCACCTTTCGACAACTAGCTTTAGGAGCAAAAATGGTTTAGTAAGCCCTTTGAAATTCTACCCCTGCTGTACACCTTCATGAGCAAAAAAATAAAGTGCATGTGCAACACTCAATTGATCTTGACACCAAACAAGGCTTTTATGAGTGTTCTCGAACATTTAAACAAGGATGTCGGCAGTGTTGACACTTCTTTTGCTGAGGAATGTTTTCAACGTTGCTAAATAATTAGACAGCGACTGCAAGGGAAGTAACCGATTATGAATATATTAAATACCGTCATTCAAATCGTTTACAGCGACACTCTTCATAACAGAGCATGCTGCTCTTCTGCATGAGAAAAAGCTCCAGTGCCAACATCAACATGGTTACATTGCATGATAATAAAAGCACTAAAACATGATCATAAGTGCACCATAGTACAGAGCGTCCAGTGGAGAGGCCGCTACCGAGTAGAACAGAAGAGAAGAGAACTGCATATGACACACATCAAGGTCTGTTTGACTCCCTATCGAAAGGACCATAGAGTCTCCAAAAAACGGGAATAAACAGACAGAGTACCACAATGCATGAAGGCCAAAAGTATGCAGACCTGGGACTGTCCCAGCGACAACAGAGGAGCAGCATGTTTTGGAGAAAAAAAAAAGTTTTGTTGAGAGGCAAGTCAGCTATTTTTTTTTTTTTTTACATTAATTTGAGTTCTGCCAGTCCTCAGAGGCAGCAGACATGTTTTGAAGACAGTAAGAATAAAATGCGTATCCCTTGCGAAAAAGGGGGAAACAAATCAAACAAAAACAATCATGGGGGTAGTGTTTCATTTAAACGAGCTAATCAGTGCCAAACTAATAAATAATTCAAGTAACAAAAAATTACTCTTGTAAAAAGACCACAGGATTGTGGGTAAAGTACTACTTCAACCCAAAACACATTCAAATGAAGTGCATGTTGATTCATGCCTGTTTATTTGTCCAGCGAGCCGCTTCCATCCAAACTCTGATGGAAGTAGGCAAGTGTCTGCAGGCCTCAATGCAAAAGTGCATGTCTTACGAGTGCCATTAGTCTTCACTTTCCGCTCTTTTTTGGCCCGCCGGGTCTTTTAGCTTGCCACAGGTGGTTATGGATAGTCAGCGCATCTACACTAACAGACACAGTCTTGGCAGGGATTACCGTGAACTGCTTACGGTCTGAGCTATACTTGTAGAGTTTGTCGATCATCTTCTTAGTGATGCTCTTGGGCCCTGTGCCGGTGAGCTTGTGGATGTCCTCTGTGTCGGGGAAATAGGAGTAAAGGGCTCTGAACTGGCAGCCACCGTCCCGGAAGAGAATCATCAAGTGGTTGGATTCACACTTCTCCAGCTCCTACCAGTAAAAAGGGAAGCAAATATTTAGGGGGGGGGGGGGGGGG